CCAAGCCAATCAAAACAAACCATGGTCTGGTAGTACACGTTCTCACTATCTTGTAACACAATACGCCCTCACGGGATCGACAAATGAGCTGACGGGTGTGTTGCCTCCTGCTGCGCTTTAAAATAGCCCGCTTCTCAAAAATGGATCAATTATGGCTCATCTCAAAGGCTAGTTAACTGATTTTGCCTGTTTCATATATTCTACCTCATATACTTTAAGAAAACGAAGGCACGATTATTCGGTTGTTGATGCTGTAACTTAGCCTACTAACAGCTTACGTACTAGCTAAAAGGCCTAGACACGTGTTCCACCGGTATTCTGCCACTGCTTGATATAGCTGCGAAGGGTCCGGCTCCTCAGTGGGTCCCCCAGCTTTCCTTGTCTGCTTTCTGGTTGATAAACCGGTTTTGAATGTTCAGCTTTTGGGTTCCTGAGAAATAACTTTCTGTTTGCGATATAAATCGGGTTTTTCTCGAATAATCGCAAGCAAACTAGCCTATCCCCACGTGGAGGTGGGAGTAGTCCACTTTGGCGAGCCGCTCATCCAGCAAATAGCTTCTGCTATGATTTTGCATCAAAAAGTCGGCATTTGTGATTCATTGTACGAACAAGCAAAATGTGGGTAAACTTCACGAGTGTAGACGAAATAACGGATTGTGTGAGGTCGAGAAAGCTACGCTGAAGCCCAGATTGAAAGCAGACAAACGAAACGCCGCGTCGTCGTCGTCGTTGTCTTAAGTTCATTCACTTCCTCGGGCGCTATCAGTAGTTTTCATGACTTCGTAGGAATCGCGTTCCTCTATCTGTTCTGGTCTAAAGGCCTAAGGGACGCGAATGAATTCTCACCAGCTACAAATAACACAGAAACGACTTCTTCCAATTCTCCTTATTTGTTTTCGACCAAATTTCTCGATTAGTAGTTGTTTTTCACATTGGGCAGTTTCACGATAAAGCATTAAGACCAACATCATCCTAAAATCAAACCCTATCGATAGACATTACTCTTGCTTATCGAAAGT